TTTCTCAGACTTTGAATATCTTTGCGGAAACGAAACAATATTTCTTTCTGAGAAATAGCTTCTTGTTGCTATTTTTTTATGGAAATCGCCATGAAAATAATGGTCCATCCCTAAAGTTATCGAACATGGGCCACATTACCACCAGCGGCTTTCCCCCTAAGCTTGCTGGGAATCACGCAAAGGAACCAGTCTTTGTAACCGCGCAGACATCTCGGGGAGCGTTTGTTGTTAATTTTAAATCACGCCCTACAATATCAAGTGTACCTAAAACTGATGAAGGCTCAAGAGTTAGCCGGGTACGAGCCAGGTAGAACGGGAGCGTGACGGGATAGAGAGATTGCTCAAGATTTGAAAAGCCTTCTAGTTCTTCTAATTTCCAGTTGAGCTGAGAAGAGATTTTAAGTAAAAGTAAAAAAGGGACCTTTCCACCCACAATCTGGAGTACTTTGAGAAATTGTAAATCATAATTTTTTTTTTTTTCATGCAGTAAATTTCCGTAAAATTAACGAGACTCGGAAGGACCAGTGTTAAATTATTCAATGTTAGGATTATCATAAAATTAATTATGTATTCATTTTTGCATCTCATCTCAGTTCAGTGTGACATGTGGCCGCGACCTGCTCGGCTTCACGTCTTCAAGTAGAAATTCAACTTCTTTCGCCTGTTCCTGCCTGACAAAATGACTTCCAAATGGCTAGAAAGTTTATTCTAAAACGCAAGAACGTTTGGCTTCAGTTGAAGAAACAGGACATGACGAAAGTTCAGACGTTTAGCAGAACAGAGATGTCGTCACGCGAGGTAAGGTGGAGAACCGTTTGCTCAACGGCGCTCTTTCTCTCTCAGAAGTACAAAAATGTTTGTCGAAACAACTTTTTAGATGAATTTTATTGAAGAAATTTGACAAATCTTTTCGCTTTACTTTTCAATTTTTACAGGAGAGACTACACGCCGTGCTCAACACGCTGGTAAGATTACCGTGAGCATTTTTAATTCAAAGCTCGCCAAATTAGTTAGAATGTTGAATATTTTTACTATATATTTTTTCGTGTTCTTGTTCTTCAAACGAACGTTAGTCTTTTACTGAGCGCTATTTTGGACTGTTTGATAGTTCACCGTTGGTAACTTGCTGTTTACTTTATAAGGTGTTCGCTTACAACCACCATCTTTATCATTATTAAACCCACCAATCCTTCCTGTTGTCGTTTCTTTTTAGATTTCTGATGCCTTGTGCTAGAGCACTACGCAGCTAGACAAATCCACGAGGTTGCTGGCAGCCCTTTGTGTGAAGTAAGGCTTCTCAAATTGTTCATGTTGCTAATTTATTCTTGTTTAAATCTTCGTAGTAAAGCATTTTTGTTTGTTTGTTTGTTTGTTTGTTTTTTTTATCTACAAGATAGCAGAGGTGGACGTTAAAGACCTGCAATGGAAGAGCATTTGGACAGTCAGAAAAAAAAAACAATCAAAATGTGAGTGGTGTTAACAACAGAAGCATTTTTTGGTGGTGCTGAATATTTATCGATGGAATCAGTTATGTTTCTTTTATATCACAGGATAGCGGGAATGTGGAACAAGATTCACAGAAACAAACACGTGGATAGAAACAAAAGAACCCAGCAAAATGTGAGTTGACTTGACCTGTATTTCATGTTATGTAGTTTTATTTAGGTGCCAACTGTTATGTTTTTGATGCGGGCAATCACCAAAAATAATATTGTACAACAGTCAGCGATAGAAAAAAACAAAACAAAAAACGCACAACGCGAGCGAAGAGAAAATGTCGAACAATCTGTCAAAATCCTGCACAATTTGAAATCGGAAAAATTCTTACTCAGAAAGAACTCCACCCCTTTTCAAAATCTTATAAATATCCCTAAGCTAACAGTTTTTGATGAAACACTGAATAGAGGTCAACTTCCGTTCTTCAATGTCGTTCTTAATTGTATTTGAGAACTAGACACTACCTATTTTTCCAATTTGCAGGATTGCAAGGATGGAAACAAAAGCTTGGAATGGTAAACACGCGGAGCAAGCATTGGAACTCGGCAGAAGGTGAGTACCTTGTTTTTTTGTTTTATTGAGAGAGTTGAAGTAATATCTTCAAAGAACAGCTTAACGACTTTGTACACGCATTAACCATCTTGGTACATTCTGTTGCCGTCGTCTACAAAACACCAAATTAGCTTGATCAAATTCTGTAACTTGCCAAAAGACAAACTTAATTGTCTATACATGCCAAAAAGAAAAGGGAACTTTTGACTTCCTTTTTTCGTTGTATTAGATAGCGTTAAGCTCTTGATTTGACATCTCCCTGGGTCCGGTTGTTCCAAAGCTGATTGACACTAGCGTGCAATTAAAAAGTTTTGTGGATTAGGAAATCTAAAAAAAGGAGAAACAAGCCATAAGGGAAATCCCATGTTTGAGGCCTAAAGCTAAATTCGACGATGAGGTGTGATCATACTCGTATAAGAACATTTCTTGATACAGTTCGGTCACCAAAGGCAGCATGGAGTAAAAACGACTTGTTAAAACTTGCAAATCGTTCAAAATTGTTTGGTTTAGTACTGGAGGGAGTTGGGGCTGGGGTGGCAGAGTAGTTTTAAACTGGATATTTGCGTGAAATTGTGATGATTTTGATTTGTTCCGTTCAAACGCAGTTGGTTCAATTTGCTAAAACCGGCTGAGTTAAGGCCCGTACGCACAAGGTGAATTTTTGTTTATTTTGCAGAAATATTTGTCATCAGTTCTGTTCTAGAAGTGCGTACGGTATTTTTCTTCCTACCAAAATTTTGTCAAGCCCTACCAAACTTCAAAAGCACCGTCGTCCTGCCTCGGAGCAGGACAAATTTTTGTCAAGCATCAAAACTGTCAGATTTTACCGTTTGCAGACGTTAATCTGACTGAAAATGTGAATCAAGGAAATTTGATCTCGGTTTTTAGAGTCTATACATTCAGCAGAAGCCCGCCAAAAAATTTAATTTTTGCACGGCAGTCGAGCTGTGAAGATGGAGAATGACGAAGAAATAAGATCGAACCCTTCGCCGTCTTCTGTGAACGAAACGGTTGTGCAACTCCAAAACCATTTGAAGACTTAGGAGATAAAATCTCCATTGGCATAAGAGAAGCAGCAACTGTCATTAAGCAAACAGAATGGCTTGAACGACCAAAAAAAAAATAAAAGCAATAAAACACCGAAGCAATATTATCTCTTGATAATTAAAGGCCACTTTCCCAGGAAAGGAACCCAAAGGATGGTGTTAGTTTTCAACGTGATTGACTCTTGTGGTTATCAGATATTTTGGTGTTTTCAAGTGCGTACGTGATTAGCAAATTCAAAATTTGGTGAAGACAAAATTTGTCGCGATCTTTCCTTAATTCTAGAGTGATCTGAAATTCTGTATATTTGATGGACCTTTACAGTTTTGACTGAAAATGTTGGCGTAAAAAAATACCAACTGGAAAAACACAAAAAAATATGTTATTTGAATAAAATAATCGACTTTGTGATCAGTCATAAAAAAATCTTCCATCTAGTTTTTGTGTCTTGCACGGTTTGGCACTGTAGTGTAGTTCATTCATTTTTTTAAACTCAAGAGGGACTTTTTAACTTAAAAGTGATACTTTTTATCCCAGGAAGTAAACTTTGTAAACTGAAAACCTTTTAAATTTGAAATAGAACGTTTCAACTTGAAAGGGAACTTGTAACTAAAAATATGATAGGGTCTAAAAGTATTTGCAAATGACCGCGAGTGACCACGAGTGACCACGAGTGACCATGAGTGACCACTGGTTACCACGAGTGACCATGAGTGACCACGGGTGACCACGGGTGACCACGGGTGACCATGAGTGAGATTACATCAAAAAATGTCGGTGATGTTATTATGACCTCATTATGACGTCGTTGTGAGGTCATTTCATCACGATAATGACATATGCACCAAACTGAAGCTATTTGCTGATGTAGTAATCAAAGATTACAGCAGTGGCTCTGCGTTCATGATTCCATTATTCAGTTCCTTTACAAATATTGGCTGTTGAGCTTATGTTCTTTCAGGCTTATCATATTACCTTTTTCATTTGTGAAAGCGAAGAAAAATCTGAGCAGTTTTATCAAATAAAGTGAGGCTGGAAACTTCAGGAACGGACTATGATATATTTTCTGAAGGCCGAGCTACAAAATATTCATGCTCAGTTACTTGTAGTCAAAAATCACAGCGCCAAACTGTAGCTAGCGCTTTGCGTTATTCATATGGACTGGCATCGGATCTAATTAAGATAACTCATGACTGCTTGCATGCACTCGTGTTGTTATTTGCCCCTGATGCAGTACAGGGAGGACAAATCGGTGAATACGGTCGTCTCAAAAAATTTTGAACGCACTGGACTAGGATTGAGTTACACCACATGAACGCAACTAGTTTAACTAGAACACGTCCGATAATGTGTAGTTTGTGTAGTTTGCCCAAAGCCGTGATTTGTGGTTATTCATTACTAATTTAACATTTTTCATTTTTGAAAACAAGGCGTCGTAAATTCGAGCAGTGTAAAAAAAAAATACAAATGCAAAGTAAATTTTTGGTGATGCACTCTTTGACTATAAACTATGTTTTCTCAAGGAATATTTGTTACAAGCATTGGCGTTCTGAAATTGAACGTTCAGTGTGAAAAAAACAAGTTTAAAGAAATGCTCCTCCTGGAAGTTTAAAGTTTCCTACAAGTTTATAGTTTTACAAGTTTTTAATCTATTCATTGCTTGTTCAACTTCACGTGCAGATCGTTATCTGTTGTTCGATCAAACAAAACATGCAAAAGTTTTGAGCCTCACTTTGTTTAATAAAATCTCTTGTATTTTTCTTCGCTTTCACAAATGAAATAGGCCACGCAATAAGCATCAAAGAACATAATTTAAACAGCCAATATTTGTAAAGGAACTGAAAAATTGAATTGCGAACGCACAACCACTGCTGTAATCTCTGATTACTACACCAGTAAATAGCCTCGGTTTGGTGAATATATCATTATTTGATGAAATGACCTTACAATGACTTTAAAATTTACGTTATAATAACATCACTGACATTTATTGATGTAACCTCACTCATGGTCACTCGTGGTCACTCGTGAGTACTTTTAGACCCTATCCTAAAAATATTAATTCGATGTTCTAAAATCGTAATAGAACTAAAGAGAAAGTTTCCAAGCAAAAATAGAACTTGTTCAATTCATAATACAACTCCTGTCAAGTCACAAGAGAACTACTTCTTTTTAAAACAAGATCTTTCGATCATCTCCTAAACTAATTTTCGAAAAGTTTTCAACTCAAAAGACTACCTTTTCAACTGAACATGGAACTCTTTGAAATAAACAGTGGAACTTTGAACTGAAAATAATAGACTTTATTCATCTAAACATGGGACTTTTTCAACTCTTAGACGATGTTTAAAGTAAATTTGTTTTTTACGTTTTAACTAGTGAGACAATCTCGGGTAGTGCAGAGTGCAATTTAGGCCTCTGATACAGTAGTCGCCCAGGTCCCTACCCCTGCCGCTCTCTCCCTTGGTAGTCGATTCAACAAGCCCTTTTCCCCTTTGCAGAATATGAGCCGACAAAAACTTGATAAGACATAATCTTAGTTGTGTGAATGTTTCATGTTTGTATTTTCTTTCAAGGCCCAAAAATAAGTTACAATTACCGTTTGTCAAGACGGTTTTGAATTTTGTGGTGTTTTACGTTGACTTTCGTTCATAAATTCAAAAATACGTAGAAGTAGCAAATGTGACAATTTTACTTTTCACGCCAACGTTTGTAACTTGATATTTTTGCTTTCCTCGCCAAGGTACAATGTATGCAACATGATACCCTTGTTTCCTCGAAAAGATAAGACAGACGTGTAATTTTTTACTCACTGCTGAAAAATCGAAGAGGAACGATTTTGTTTAATTCAAAACACGAATTTTCTTTTCACCGATAAATGAGAACTAATCTAATTATCAAATGTTCACGTCAGGTCACGGAATAGTGTGATCTTATTCTGTTGCCACCTTTGATGTTAACAATAAAACCACGTCGAACTAATTCACAATGTTATCGATTAATACAACTGTGGAGCGTTTCAATGAGAATTATTGAAGGTAGAAATCGTTACTTGACCGAAATTATATTCTACATCGGTGAGCGAGTTACCTTAAAGACTGATGAAATTAATTGGCGGTTTCAGTAAGTGCCACGGAGTCTGAGGCAATAATTGCGAAGTTTCTTTTGTCACAAATTTACTAGTTTCACATGTAACTAACGCGGGAAAGTTTCGGCTGAATATGAACTTTTTGCTCTTTCACAGAAGCAGAAATAAACAAGCTGCTAAGGAGAAGCAGTATGTTTGGCAAATACACGATAGCTATTAAACAGTAGATGAAATTTCTTGAATAAAGCTAGGGGTGATTCCAGAAGATACGGGCAGTCACAGTAGCGTTCTTTCCACTAAAAAGGGAGAACTGACCTAACCTGAAATACAGCTGCTATCTCCAGTCAAAACGAGTGTGGTATTGCTCAACAACAACAACAACACAAAAACGTGCGGATCTGAACTCGAGAACTGAGTTTATCACAAAAGCAATGCTAGGACGCATGCGTCTTACATGTTTTTTTTAAAGGCGCGAGATTATTTTTTACTTACAATGTGCGATACTTAAGCTACTAACAATACTATACTCTACTTACAAGACAGTACTTACTTACAATGTGAGATACGCTACTAACAATACTATACTCTACTAACAATACAACACTTACAGTACTTACTTACAATGTGCGACACTTAAGCTACTAACAATACTATACTCTACTTACAATACAACACTTACAGTACTTACTTACAAAGTGCGATACTTAAGCTACTAACAGTGCTATACTCTACTTACAATACAACACTTACAGTACTTACTTACAATGTGAGATACTTACGCTACTAATAATGCTATACTGTACGCTTTACTTACTTACATTACGGATTACATACGCTACAAAATCCAGAAAATAAAGGGGGGCGGGGA